CTTTATATGTATTTGTAAAAGCGTATATTTTTAATGCACGTTTCCAAAACATATTGCAAATTTCAATCCAGTACTTTTCTGAAGCTGTACTATTTTCAAATAGATTTCATGTGTGTTGTTTTAACCTTTTAAAATCATTTTCAAAATAATATTTCAAGGTTTCACTACTTTGGGTAATAGTGAGTTAATTATATTTGAATGAAACACTTTCAGTAGAAAGAAAGAAAGGTTAGGGTTATGCATCGAATACAAAAAGTCAAAGAAAACACATTTTTATATAAGAAACCCGTAAAACATGTGATTTTACCCATTTTGTCACATAAATGGCCTATTTTTTTTAAACTTGGCTCAGCCAAAGTGAAACAGGAAGTGACATCAAAGGGGAACTCTTTAAGAAAGAGAACTCTCTAGTCTTTGTTTATTGAAACAATTTTACTTGAACTCTGACTCGTCTTCATCTCTCTCTGATAGTGACTCAAAATAATTAAAAAAAACATCAGATTATTCTCTACAGTCTGTCTTTAGCTATTTTATCAATGCTTTGTTCCATCCAGGCATTCCCCTTTGACATCACTTCCTGTCGCTTTGCATGCAAATATCTCAGCAGTGGGAAATAATTTTTGCAATATGTTAATGCTGTTTTCTTTCTAATAATGCCTTTATATTTTAAAAAAAGTCATGTCACAGGCACTTTAATAATTTGATGATTGTAGTCGAAGTCTTGTGAGTTTAAAAACATTTTGTTCGCCTTAAATATTCTCAGACGCACAAAGCTTCAGTTAAATGTTGTAAATGGTCACGTGCAAACACACAGCTGAGGCTGTCCGATGGGCCGCRCAGACAGAGAAGGATGCATCAGGGCCCAAAACTAACAGGGCGAAAACCTCGGGCCCCATTAGGACCAAGGAGACTGAGTGCAGTGAAGACAGATGGGATGAAACACAAGCTTGTTGCAAACAAGGYCTGCATGGTGCCACCAGTGTTTTCAGACTGTCGTTGAAAATAAGGAAGGCCATTAATAACCCACTCACTGTGCTCTGCTCGGCTGGGCTCGGCTGCTTGKTGCAGAGCTAAACGTGGCGCTGACTGAGACTGGCAGCCTGCGTCAAAAACACCGTATGTACCTGAGGAGGGAGGGCTGACTGAGATGTGCCCGTGAATCTATTTGGGTTGAATCTATGTATTTATGAGCTATATGTTTACTTTTATTCGCAGATTTATTTTTAATTTTCTCACTTGTTCGTTTACGCGCCGGCTCTGCGCTGTCTGGACCCRCTACAGTTGGACGGGAGTGGGATAGTAGTGAAGCGGTCGGTGAAGCCGTCAGCGCCGAAGCGAGACGTTGAGGGTTGCCAGGAGTAATGACTGCGTTCCTTCTTGTCAAATCTTTACTTTGGCAGATGAACACATGAACAAAACATAACATTTGACAGGGAGGGGAGGTTTTCTTTTTTTCTTTTTTTTCTTCTCATGATCCAAAAATATTGCATGTACACAGCCAGGCTGCGAAGGAGTTCCTGCAAAGATGGAGTGGGTGCTCCGGTGAGGGGAAAAAAAAAGTTTTTCTTGCGTGGCAAACTGACTCGTATAATTATTGAGTTATTTAAGGCCTCTCAACCTCTGACAAATCTGAGACATTTGAATTATAATGACCATTCATTACAACTTTGGGAACAAACCCACTTATTTTGACTGAAATTTAGAAAAATGTATCATGTAGTGAAACTGATGCTTTAAATGTGACATGGGGGGGTTAAAAATAAAAACAGACTTGTGCTAAAATCATTTATCTTTCTTTTTTCACCCTTTTTAAAGAGTAGTATGTGATATTTTAAAACCATGGGGTCTTCATTTTTTAGGTCTTGCAAGCTAAAAAAATGTTGTTTTGTTGCAAAAAATAAGTTAAAAATCAAACACCATCTTCATTGTTATAAATAAAACAAAAAGCACCCATAAAATGTCAAATTAAAGGGGAACTAATATGCAAAATTAACTTTTTACATGTTTGGTCCAAGTGCCAACAAAATATTCCCAGCTGTTTTTTTTTTTTTTGCCAATACGTAAATGTTTTGTCAATGTCAGCAAATGAGACGTTTCAAAAACCTGCGGGTTGTTACGTCACAACCCAAAGCCGCAACCCAAAGCCTAAGATGAGCCCGGCCCCTCACCTGGTAACCCAMGCGGAGRCTCCGCCCACTTTATTACAGGACGWCCACGTTTGTTCTGCTGTTTTAACGGCAGTCACAGAGAACAGAGACACGTGGCCTAATGTCACTGGGATACTGCCAAAGAAAGTTGTCGTTTGTGCAAATAACTCCACGATGAACTCCTTTAAAAACTACTWCAAAGCAGGATGTGCCCGAGGATTTCAGCTGAAACATCTGTCCCTCATGTTCCTCACAAATCTGCAGATGATGTAAGTGACGCGTTGTGTGTTTAGTGTTGCTGTTTTGTATGAACATGTCATTTAGCGCGAACTAATGCTTAACAGTAGCGCGTGGTCGTGATCGACAACAGAGGAGGCGAAAACCTTCGAGACCCTCTGTCTTTCCCCTCCGGACTGTGGTCAGACGCTCTGGTCTGTCCCTACCAAACCCTCGACTAGTRGGGGCTGGACTGTGCGCACCCCACCTACTACCAGTGGTACCATTGTTGTACCATTGTGAATCTGCTTGCTATTGCCATGCATCTGAAGTGCAAACATAAACGCTGTTTGGAGGGCGGAGCCAACAGCAGCTTATTTGCATGAACAGCTCGTTCTGAAGGGAGCTCAGAACAGGCAGAGCTGACCAGGTGAAACCTCATTATCTGAAAATGATTTTGTGTATTAAATCTAATAAACATGTTTTGTTTAGCCCACAGATGTATCCTTACTTGTTCAAGGACGCATATTAGGTTTTCTTGAAGTAAAACGTACAAGGAATAAGACTATGGAGCAATCTGGAGAGTGATGTCAAAAATGCCAGATCAATATTTATGTTTAAGAGAGTGATAAAAGTCACTTGGTTAAAGAAATATGAAACAATATAATGTGTATTCATACGAAATGTTGTTCATCAAGGATTTGAGGTTGGTTTTGTTTAGTTTTTGTTTGTGGATTATTATTGTTTAAAATGTATTTTTGAGAAGAAAAAGGCACAGATACTATAAGATTTTTTTCCTCTTTCTGCCGTCTTTCATTTTATTTGTGATTTGTATTTTTATTGTACATAAATT